TTCCATACTCTTGCGTGTAACCCAAAGCAACAACGTAAGCCTTGAAGCGTTTAATGTTGCCATCAGGAAGCATCTTGAGAGCGTAGACCCATTTATTTCCAATAATAGGAACATCGGCGGGAGGCCGGTCTACAACAGTCCAAGTTTGCTTAGCATGTAAATCATCAATCTCACAGTCCATGGTGCGGCCCCATCGAGGATCAGCTTTGGCTTGCTTGTGACGGGGTGGTATAGGAATGCTCTCCACTGTATGGGCGAAATAGTCCTGGAAACGGGGAGGTGGAACTCCATGAGTTGCGCGAAGGGAACGACGGAGGATAGCAGGAGCAGGTGGTGAGGCTGGTGGAGTTGGAGCCGACGCAGTTGAGGCGCTAGAGGAGGAGGTGGACGGCGAGCCAGCTGGTGAAGTCAGACCAGGAGAATGATGTGGGAAGGGAGTAGCTGGGGGATCATCTTCAGCTGGAGACTCGTCGTCGTCAAAAATGGTGAGAGGGGACAGGCCCGAATGAGGAAATGAGGAGGAAGATGCTAGACTCAAAGAAAGGTATGTTTAAAAAAAACTACCGAACATGATATACAAATGCGTTGAACAGAAGGATCGTAACATAAATAACCCTTATGTAAATCAATGTATCCCATAAATGCACACTTAGCAGTTTTTAACGTTAGCTTAGTTCCTTCTCGTTTGGGTAGGAGAACAAAGCACAAACAACCAAGAGCTCGAAGACGTGAGTAATCAGGATGTCGTGAATACAGTGAGTAATAGGGACAATTATGGTGGAGGACAGGAGTGACCTGAAAATTGATCAAGAAAACTGCCGTCGCTACAGCTTCAGACCAATAACGTCCATGGACATTAGAAGCAAGAAGCATAGCTCGAGTTATTTTCATGACATGCCGGGTTTTTTTCTTCCACAAGACCGTTTTGTTGAGATAAGCCAGGACGAGATTTTTGACTCAAAATACCACGAGAGTGATAGATGTCACGAATCGGAAAGGAACCGAATTCTCCGCTAGGATCCGATCGAATGATTCTAACATTACGAGCAAATTGATTATGGATCATGTTTAAAAACTCGGTGGCTACATCTCAAAGGTCAGATTTTAGACGAAGGAAATAAATCCATGTAAAGCGAGTGGCATGATCTATGAAAAAAGAAAATATTAATACCCATGGCGAGAGGTTTTGGTAGCAGGACCCCACAGATCAGTATGAAAAATGTGAAAAAGTTCAATAATAACAGTGGCACTTGACGGGAAAGAAGAACTGACAGTTTTGGCTTCTACACAACTAGTGCAAGAATGTTTAGCCGACAAATCAAAAAAGTGTTTTCCAAGAAGAGACTGTGTGAACATTAACGACAGTCGACTAGAGTGGGGATGCCCCAGGTGAGCATGCCAAAGATCCCACTATTTATTGGAAAGAGTCGAAAACATAGACCTAGACTGTAAGGAATCAGGACGAGAAGAGTCTCAAGCTCGTCCAGATGAAAGATCTTGCCATGTTTACTCCCCCTTCCTATCTGCCTCCCCGTCTTCAAATCCTGTATCACACATCCCGCCGGGGCAAACATAACAGGATACCCTTGCTCAGTAAGATGACCAACAGAAACTAAGTTTGGAACTAACTTGGGAACATGCAATGTCTTAGGAAAATCAAACAATTTACTGTTGACATCCCCTATGGCATGAACTTTGAGTTTATGCCACTTGATACTATTAGAGACATATCCTGAACCGACTGAACTTTATTTAAATCATTCCCATTACGAGTCATATGATTAAAACAAGCATAATCGATTAGCCATGGGTTGTTGAAAGTTTTACCTGACCCTTGCATAGTAGGAAATGTTGCGCTGATGGCGGTGGTTAACGACCGTTGAAGTGCTGGATTTACCATGTCTTCGACGACAGCGTCGAAGAGACTAGAGCTGCTGCTCGCTTTACCATCGCGACCACCATCTACTTCAGTTGCATACGCAAGACGTCCGCCAAGCCGAAGCCCAGCAATATCTCTTCCAGCGGGACGATTTCCACCGTTGTTTTGTCTTGTCCCGTCGCCATAGTAGGGGCAGTCACTAACAGCATGAGGACCAGGATACGGGCCACCATTCCTCTATGCATTTCGCTCTCTAGATCTGCACTCCAAGACTATATGTCCCATTCTCTTGCAGTAGACCAATAATGGCAATGTTTCACAAGATGTCCACGCTCGTGGCAATGATGACACTCAAGGGTAGACGTAGGGACTCGTTGTTGAAATTAAGGCCTCTCTACAACATAGGCCGACGAACTAGACCCTCCCACAGTAGCAGCAGCGGAAATAATTGCTTCCCCTTCTCCAGGCCGAATATCAAGCTGAGCTTGTGCTCTAAGTCGAGTCTCTTCGCGTACAAGTTTCCCCAACACACCATCAAAATTCAGGTTCTCTCGGTTCAGCAGATTGGATCGAATTGACTCAAATTCAGGCCGAAGTCGCATTAAAAAACTGAAGGATCCGACGTTGTAGGCGTTGGACGATAGCATCGGCAGACTCGGCGGCTTGAGGGCGCAAGAAGGTTGAAAGCAAATATTGCTCCGTCCAGATTTCTTGAGCCGCGTTGAAGTATTTTGTGACACTCTTCTCTCCTTGTTCCAATCGTGCGAAAGAACATTGGATTTCAAATTGACGGGTTGCATTCACCGTTGAATAGAGTGTGGAGAGGTGTCACCACATTCGATTTCCAGTAGTGAAAAGGCGAAGACTGAGACATGTGGACGCATCAACGGATCCGAGCAACGATGAACGAACTCTAGCATCATTTTGATTCCAAACAGTAATCTCTTGGGGAGTGGCAGTACCTTCTTCAGGCTTCGGACTGGATCCATTCAGTATTTCGAGCATGCTCTTTCCTTTCACATAGACACGGAGTTGAAATTCCCATAGAGCGTAATTGGTTGAGGTGAGATGTACCAGAGAACTCTCATAATTGATTTGCTCTGATACCATGTTAACAAATTGAATAGCAGAATCGGAATAGCAGAAACAGTAAACGACACACAGATTTTAACGTGGTTTCCCCGGAAAACCCAGGACTAATCCACGGAAGAGATCAAGCTCTTCAAGCACTCAAGTTCACTATCTGATCATCGTGTTCCAGATGAAAGGCAACCATCATTAAGCTATATACACTAGTTTAGGGTTCTAGGTATCACCTCCTATCCTTGCACGAGAGTGGGCCCAAGTACAACTATACAGAGGCGTAAAATACAAAGTATGGGCTGAAAACTAGGGGTCGTTTGGATGAGTTAATTGTATGTGGTATTTATAGAGTCAAATAACTCATTTATTGTTCATGCGGTATTTCAGTGGTAATTGAAATAAAGTATCTCGTTTGGTTGAACCATGCAAATGTGGTTTTTGACATGTGGTATTTGGTTAAAGCAGAGTGATAAAAATGAGTTATTTCGAAATAACACATGGGTATGAGTTATTTCAAATAACCCATTTTGAGTTATTTATAAATAGGCTGGCGCCCCCCGCCGCCGGGAAGAATCAAGATTAACACTGACACGGCAAAGTGGGATGACATTGCCATTGGGCTGGGGATGGTAGCACGAGGTCCGACGGGTGAATTTATCATGGCGGCGACTAGAAAGGTTCCTGGGAATTGGACAGTTGATGAAGCAGAGGTAATGGCAGTTGAGTTCGGGGTGCAGCTTGCTAACTAGCAATGCTTGCGCAATGTTCTAGTGGAAACAGATAGCTCTGCGGCGATCACCAAGTTGGTTGAGGCGGATAACATCCAGTCGGAAATTGGAGTGGTTTGCAGAAACGTCTGGCGGATGCTAGGAAGCATGGGAGAAACCAGTTGGCAACATGTTCGGCGCGTTGGCAATGTAGCCGCCCATATAATGGCGCACTTAGACTCCAGAGACGATACCCGATCAGTCTGGCTTGATAGACCCCCGATCTTTTTGATTGATCAATTGGAAATGGACAATGTAACCATACAAATTGATCAATAAGAAATCCACAGGTTCCGATAAAAAAAAAAAGAGTTATTTGTAAATAACTCACTGTCCAAATAACTCATTTCAGTAAAACGCTGTTAAATATGAGTTATTTGGACACAAATAACTCACACAAATACTCCTTTCAAACGACCCTTAAAGCGAAACCCATCGTTCTGCTAACACAACCAAATTAAAGTATTGCCATCACACCGTCCAGCTACCCAACTTTACTGTCACAATGGGAAATGAAGAAAACTAAGAAAGGCTTGTGGGAGAATCCACTCTCCGCCAATTGATTGTTAATTTGTTATCAAGCTGAGAGGTGACGGAACAGTTAAACTTGAACTCCGGTTCGAGCTCAAAACCAGATATGGAGAGCAAGCTCACTTCGTTGCGGAAATAAATAGCTGGAGCTCGGCTCTACAATTTAGCGTGTTTGCAAAATCATATTGATTCGATCTGAAAAAAAATTCTCTTTTAGTATTTTGATAACTACTAAGAGATTACGACAGTTCAAACAGACAAACAAAATTATTTTTTATTTATAAATTGATGTTTAGTTTTATTCATCAAAAGAGAGTCCTTCCATAAGTAATGGACTTGCTCAAATGATAAAGTTTAATAGAGGTGGCTGAACGTACATATAAAAACACTAGAAACAAGTGGTCAAGGTGACTCGGAATAGGTTTTGGCTTGTGCCATACAACATCAAATGTAGAGTCTGAAGTTCTAGTTGAGATAGTATTTTGTAGTTGATTATGTTAGACAAGCTCAAACATTACCTCTTATTATATTACTGACTTATATATTTTTATATGACTACTTTTAATGATTGCAAGATAACAATTAGTGGTATATTATTATTTATATTAAGGGTGGAGATCAAGCGTTTGGGAGGTATCGGATAGCGTAGATGAAGATCCGGACGAGGTGAACTGTGGAGATCGAAAGTTTCTCTTATGTGAGGGTCCAACGAAGTGAAATATTTAAAAACAAAATATAATTTATCATCACGTCATTTATTTAACGATAAAAAATATTATTGACTATTACGTAGGAGGAACTTAACGACATTGGAGGGCCAGTAACTTAAGACGAAATAAATTTAAAAATAAATAACTTTAAAACAAGAACATTTTTTCGAGTCTAAGTATGAAAAATATTAATAAACTGAATGATTAAGAGTGTAATTTGGCCTGTAAACTGTCTTGTGACTTATTTCCATAAGACCCCGGCTTTTTGTATAGTCTTTGACCCAACACTTTTTCTACCAAGCACAGAGCCACGGTCAAGGAATCAATAAAGGATGGGTGCTATTTTCGGAACGATGACAGGAAACCCATCAATCTCACCAGCCCAGGGATTCTTCTCCTCTGGCCCAACATCCCTCAAAGCCCGCCAAACCGCACTATTGCACTTGAAACCCGACCCAAGCCCAATCTGCCAAACCCGATCCCCTCTCCTCACCCTTCCTTTCGCCTCGCTGTACGCCAGCTCATACCAAAGGGAACTGCTCGACGTGTTCCCAAACCTGCATGCAGCCAGTAAAATACCGAATAAGTAAGTTAAATATAAAATATATTTCGATATTTACTTCGTCTCTAAATTAATGATACGTGTCGTTACAAAATATATGAAAAAACATTTTAAAAATAAATTAACATATAAATAACACTTAAGTTACCAATACGGAACGTGTTATACAGTTTAGTACAGGAGTCATCAAATGAAAAAAAAATGAAATGTATTGACAATAATACGGACACGAAAATTTTAGCGGATAAAATACGTACTACGACAGTGTATTAAAGGGAGTATTTATTAACCTGTATAGCGTCATTCGAGAAGGCTCCATGAGCCGCTCCGTCAAGTTGAGGCTCTCCTCCAGCTGGTCCAGCACGCCCCTCCCGCCGGCGTGGATGCAGAAGTGCTCAAACGCCAGCTTGAAATCCGGAACGTACGGCTTCTTCACCGCCGTCTTCGCTCCGGCGGCGGCAACCTTCCTCGCTATTAAGTTGGCGAGGAACTGGAGCTTCTCGGAGAGGGGAAGGACGAGCGGGCCGAGCTTGGTGATGTTCTCCTTGAGGACCTCGCCGGCGACGGCGGTGAGGTCCCTGGAGAGGGAGACGCCGACGATGTTCTGCTCGTCTTCCTGCTGGAAGACGGCGCGGTAGCATCGGTCGTCGGAGGCCCTGTTGGTGCGGAGGACGTGGCAGAGCTGGTACTTGGCGCGGCGGCGGTCGGAGGGACGGTTGGTGAGAAGGACGGCGGAGGCACCGACGCGGAACAGGCAGTTGGTTACGAGCATGGAGCGGTTGTTGCCGCCGTACCAGTTGCGGGTTGTGTTTTCCGTGCTGACGATTAGAGCGTAACTGTGGGAATGCACCTGTTTCACAAACATAATATTTTTTTTTTTTTTTGAAATCAACAAACATAATATTAACATCAAATGACCACAAATAACAATAATACAAATCACTTATTAAATACTAGAATTGCACTGAATCCATAAATGGCATTTCTTCTCTTTAGAAATCGATATTAAATCTATCTCTTTTAATTTTTCCTATTATTTTCGTAATTTGCCTGCTTAATTATTATTATTTTTTATAGGCATTAAATTACATACAAGATAGTAAAAAATAAATATGATGATGTTTAACACGAAGATAGGATGAAGATAATCCTTCGTAACTTATCTTCTTCCATAAATGTCATAGAGTTATTACTGATTCAGACCCTCTTACTTACAACTTTAAGTTCTCGACATGATGGGTAATAAAGGAACTGACAATAGTCAATAGATGCATGCCAAACTTAAAAAAAAATAACTATAGTTCTGATAAAATTATTCTTGAATCATAAGATCATTTGTAAAAATAAGAATCCATAAAAATTAATAAATAATAAACTTGGAGATTATCATTACGACCGAATATGATGTTAATGCCAATAAAGTGCGTTAGCATCAATCTAATATAATTTATTAAATGTATTATAATAACTAGTCACTCATAACTCATAAGAGTATAAACCTTCTCCTACCGTCCCTTTGAGTTGGATTTCATAGATAAAATACAGTATGATAAATTAATTTAAAATAATTTTTATAATGACAACTGTGGCCTCCCTTTTATAATTTTGCATTAATCGTGGTTAACCTATTGAAATAAAGAAAAAACATGAAAATAAATATTACTATTAGCTGAAGTGCTGAACACCTGGACCTAGTGTTAGACTAACTCCAACCCAAAAAACTATATTTAGCCTCCCAAGCTCTCAAATGTGCATATTTGCCTCCCCAAAACACCTTTTTGCTCCAACCCTAAACCTTCTAAATTTGCCTTCCCAACTCATAACCAACCAATCAAAAATTAAGAAAGTTAAAAAAAAAAAAAGATGTTGGAAAGTGGAGGGGCCCAGCGTGTGGGCTTGTGTTCCATGGTTGGTCCCCCACCTTCTCCTTGCATATCTCCATATGAGCTTCTATCTATCCACTCCCAAGCCCACTTCTCCAAATTTGCAAGCCAAATAATTGGTGGGTTGGAGATGAAAAAAGCCAAAAACCTCCCTTTCTCCAAATTTGCATGCTTGGGTTGGAGATAGTCTTAGTATTATACTAACAAATTCGGCGTTAACCCCCTAAGATATGCCTGCTTAAACAATAAACTTCTTTTTTACAAACTAAATAAATAAAATAATGAGATATTACCAGGTAATTAATTAAGATTAAAGATCAAGCATATTTAAAATGTGTGTAACAAATTGGGTTTTAACGCCTCTATGCTCTGCCTACTTAAACAATAACCTCTTTTTTTACAAACTAAATTATTAAAATAACTAGATACTTAATCAAGAAGATTCAAGCTAGCATGTTTAAAATTTGGGTGAAGTGGAAAACACGAGTCTAACGCGAATCACAGTACAAACCTGCAAGAGATCTTTGGCAAGATCAAGGGCGATCAACCCGGCGCTACACCCCATCCCGCCAAGATTAAAGCTCGACACATTCCCCCTCAACTTGTAGCGATTCACAATCGCCGCGGAAAGCGACGGCGTCGGATTGAACGTGCTACTGTTCACCACCAGCACACCAATCTCCCTGGCCTCCACCCGGCTCTTGTCCAGCAAATCATCGATCGCCCCGAACATGGCCGCCTCCGTCTCCTCCCTCGCCGCCGCCATCGACTGGTCCGACTTCTCCAGCAGCGCCGTCGCCACGTATGTCCGCTGGCCGTACCCGGACCGCTCGAGGATCTTCCGCTGGAAGTTGAGGCTCTCCTCCGTGAACTTCCCGTAGGCGACCGACAGCTTCATGGTCAGCTCCTTGGGGCACTCGTGGTCCGGCCCGGGCTTGTAGCACGCGAAGTCGAGCAGGTAGACGTGACGCGGCGAGCGCATAACGCGGACGGTGGAGATTGCCAGCACGCAGCCCAAGGCGGAGATTGTCAGCAGCAGCAACAGGCTCGAGCGCTCGTCGACGTTGGATGACGAGAGCTCGAACAGATAGTTTTTGACGTTGGATATTATATCCTGGATTCGAATCTTGATGAATAGTACTGGGACGACGACAAGGAAGAGATAGATTGCGTAACGAAAAAGTTTCGTTACTTGTGATGTAGCTAACTGAACATTTTGGATGGACGACATTATTTTTCGAGTGGGAGGCTTTTTTTACCCCTGCCTGGGTTGAACTTGATGGAAGTGGTGCACTAAGGAAGAGGTGATGTTGTGTGTATTATATAATACGGGGGGAAAAGGAAAACACTACTACTAGAATTGTCACTTGTTCATCAATGGCGTTATGAAGGGAAGAGTAATTACAGGCCATGCTGCTGCAACTAGATCATGATGAATTTTGATCTGGAACAGTGTGTAGCTTTGAATTTTCTGGTTATGGTGGTGTGGGTTGTAGATGGAACATTTATTATTATGTGCCACATGAAGGTAGTAATACAAGTGTCAGTTGTGACAGTGGGAAAGCTGCATGAATTGAACCATCATCAAGAGGAATGCAAGTATGCAATACCATAAATTGTTATTGTTCTGTTCACAACCAGAAGGCAAGCTAGTTGTTGGCCGACTAGTAAGTAATTAATAACTCTTGGTAGATGTAGAAACGGTCAAACAGGGAAATAGACAGTGATTTGAGCTAGCTAGCTAGCTAGGAGATTTTGTCATGTAACTAGTAAGTTTAGGGAGTTGTATGGTTTTGACTCATGAGGTGGTGGTGGGTGGCTTATTTGTCAAGCCAATTAATCACAAACATTTCAAGTCGATGAAGATATATTATCAAACTTCGGGATCATGTCAAAAAAACAATAATGGGAATCGGTTAGCTTGCTAACCATACGAGGGTTTAGCATCGCCATAACCACTTTCCTAAGTTGTTGTTCCCTTTCCTTTCATCTTACTGTCATAATTATCAGGGTTCTTTCACGAGTTAGTAGGTATTTTGCCCAACAAGAGTGATACTCCCACGGGGCTTAGGATACAGTCAGTAACCAACAGTTACTGATCTGTGAGTAACTCACCTGGAGCCGTTGATCTAGGATGGAGCGATCATGTGATTGGGAATGATGCGGGAAGAGGAGGGGTATTTCTATACACTTTTTGAATTTTTAATTGTTTTCTTTTTTCAATTTACTCAACATTTATTAATTAGTTTTGCATGGAGGTGAGAGAGTTAGAATATTATCTTTGGAGCTCTCTTTTCCTCTTTCTTTGTTCCTTTCTCTCTGCCAAACTCCTCCTTTTCTAGATCTAATCTCTTATTCTGTTCTTCATTTTTTCTCTCTAGCAATCTCCTTTTTTTATTTGTTCCTTTCTCTCTTCCCATCTCCTTCTTCTCTAGATCTAATCTCTTATTCTGTTCTTCATTTTTTTCTCTATAGCAATCGATAAAGGAAAGGTGCAACCTCCTTTTTTCAAGTACTCGGCTTCAAAATTGGTGACTCTCCATATCGACCAAGAGGGGACATGTCTAGGTGAGTCGAGTTTGCATGTTTTAGTTTTTGTTTATGGATTTTCAATTCCAATCTTTCTCTTTTTTTCTTCTTTTAGTGTTCTCGTTTGCGGAGGAGGAAACGAGAGGAGGCAGAAGAAAGACATGTGAAGTACGTCTTAGTTTTATGTATATTGTTGTTACCATACTATACCATGGTGGTATTGTGTGGTAATTAGATGTATATTGTGGTTTAGGGGTGGGCATTCGGTCGGTTCGGTTCAAACCGAACCGAAATTATGCATACCGGGTCTCCAAATTCTATCAAACTTCAAACTGAATTCGTACCGAATTATAATTCGGTTCGGTCGGTTCAAACCGAATTATAATTCGGTTCGGTTTGGTTTTTCATACAAAACCGAAATAGTGAGGTTAGCTTGTATCTTCTCTTTTTTAATTTATTTTTCACCCATAATGCAAACAATAAATATGCATTATCAATGATAAAATCAAACATTTCAACACATAAGTCATAAAACACTAACATGATTCAAATATTTAAGTCTCATAATAAGTAGAAACATAAAAATCCACCATTTAGAGCTTGCAATTATAATAATTCGGTTTTTCGGTTCGGAATTCGGAAATTCGGTTCGGTCGAAAGGACCCTAGTTTCCGAAATATGCCCTTTTCTCTTCCGAATTCTGAACAGAATAACATTAATTCGGTTTCGGTTCGGTTCGGTTTTACCGAACCGTATGCCCACCCCTATTGTGGTTACCATACTATACCATATGGTAATGTGTGGTAACTCGATGTATACAATATGGTTATCATATTTTACCATGAAAGTAGAGTGTGGTAATCGACATCAATTCAGAGAAAGGAGATTCAAAAGACAATGAAGGGGACAAGAAAGCGAAGAAAGTTGGAATTATATATATACCACACTATACCATATGGTAATGTGTGGTAACTAAATGTATTTCTATGCATACCATGTTTTACTATGGTAGTAGATGATGGTAATTAAATTTATATTTGTTTTTAAATGGTTTTACGTTCTCTTACCATGTGGTATTGTATGGTAATTATGATTATTTTATGGTCATTCAATTTACCATGTTCTACTATGGTGGTATTGTATGATAGTTAGATTTATAATTTTTTGTAACATGTTTTACCACGTTATACCATGTGGTATTGTATGGTAGTTAGATTTCTAATTTTATTTTAGCATTTATACCATATGGTATTGTATGGTAATTAGATTTGTAATTTTCTTTAGCATATTTTGCCATGTTTTACCATGGTAGTAGAAAGTGATAGTCATATTCATACTTGTAATTACCCTTCTTGGCGGAGAATTATTAAATGAAAAAATCATCATTTAATTTGAGTTGGAGTTGGGGTAGAGAGAGTTAAGATTGTTGAATTCATATTTGTTTTAGAGATAGAGTTAGTGTGCAGAGAACATGTACTTTTTTTCTCTCTTTTAGTTGTAGATGGGAGAGAGAAAAAATAATTTAAGTTTTCTTTTAACAATAGATAAAAGAGTGACAGAGGGAAACGTGTGGACGACGGGGAGTGGGGCCACGTTCGGTCAAAAGTAGGCGTCAGGTCGTCAGCAATAAATAAGGGGTGGATGCAAATTACCCTACTGCCCCTCCGTGTTTCATTTAAATAAAAGGGAACGGCTCAGATGCAGATACATAAAGGATAGAGGAAGGAGTTACACACGGTTACTCAAGATAAAGTTACTGCCTGATCCGGACCCCTCCCACGGCACGGGTCACATGATGATATTATCCCCTCTGAAAACCGCGACCTGATTTTGGGGAAAGAGAATCAACCAACCTTTTCGTCTTTCCTTCCATCTTTTATGTCACATGTTTCTTCTCTTATAGTTATTTTGTTTTGTTTGGCTTTTTTTTTTCACCTTTCCTTCAACGGCGATACTATCCAAGAAAAATACCATTATTTTCGGTATATAACTCGAAAGCAGTCGTCGAAGCAACAGTCATAGTCGGCGGGCCACGACATAGTCATTGTTGAACCACTCTTCTTTTGTCTTTTTACTTTCAAAGTTCGGTGAGAAATTAAAATGAAGAGACAATATATATATAATTTATTGTACTTGGTGAATTCCATTTCAATTGTTGACTCTCGCATTATAAAGATTTGAAGAATTGGTTGTGGAAATGTTGACAGTATTAATATTACTTCCTTTCTAGTCTATATAGCATTGATTACTTCCTCCGTTCGACAGTATTCGGTTAATTTGGTTTGGTTAATTTGGATAATTGGTTTGATTTGGTTAAACAATTTAGTTTATTTGGTTTAAGTGGTTTGGTTTGGTTTCAACATTGCTAACCAATGAACCAATTAATGGTACACCTAATATACAAAATTATTTATACTTCCATGCAACCAACCAAACTAAACTTTTCTGATTCCCTATTTTATTTCCATTTTCACAACAAATTATGGATCAAAATTTAAATGGGCCTGCCTATTTACTAAATCAAAACATTTTGGACAACTACTAGACTTTAGGATTACGTACATACCATGACAGCCACTTCAAACTATGTATAGTTTAAGTGTTTTGTAGGAGAGCTTTAACTTCCTGATGAGCATAGTTAGTAAATACTCCGTTTAATACATGTATATGTACCCGTACGTATTTTATCCATTTAAAACTTCTGTATCCGTATTATTGTCAAGCCGTTTCATTTTTTTCCGTTCAGTTGATGGCTCTCGCACTAAACACGTATAAAACTCATATAACATGTTTTATATCCGTATTTAATGAATTAAATTGTTAACTTTACTATTATTTATAGATTTATTTATTTTTAAAATAATTAATTTTATACATTTATGACTTTTAATGTACTATTAAACATAACATTATCTTAGAGATAAAGTAACATACCCGTACATATTTTATACGTAATTTTCCCGTGTCGTATTTTACTAACTATGCTGATGAGGGGTATTGGTATGTATTTATGTTAAGGAGTTTTTTGTAAGCTAACTATATTAGGTTCAGATAAGATGAATGATGTATAACTCGAATGATGATGATAATTATGGATGGTTAGTCTTATTATTTTGCTTACATAGAATGATAGTTTATGATAGTAACAACATATGGTTATGTTTTATTCATTAACATGATAATTGTTTTCATGTAATGTTATGTTATTTGATTAATCCGATTATCCGATTAACCAAATTAATTAAATTTTGGTTTGGTTAATTTGATTTTCGTGTTAATTTGGACGGTTTGGTTAAGACATTTTATTCAATGGTTAATAAAATTTAGACTTAATTGGTTTAGTTATTGCTAGGGTAATCATTTGAACACCACAGCCTTTCGGTTCTCTTTTGGTAACAAAATATAAAGACTTTAATGAAAATATATCTACAGCGACGCCAATTTGAACAAGCTGCGCCATCTGTTAAAACAACCAACTCCGATCCATATGGATTTATGTCTAGCCCAAACTGGTCCGTTAGTACCGGTTGATTGGAGGCTGTTATAATTGTCTTTTCTTCAATAGGAAATGATCTAGCTCATTGGTTTATTTTGCTTGAATGGAGGCCGAAGCCAAGAAAGGGGAGAGGGGGATTACAAGGACGGGGCACTGCAACTTGGCGCTCAAAGCCAACTCCTGCCCTATCTTTCTTCGTAATCTGCTGAAGTGCAATTGGCTAGAGAGCTCATGCATATCGTAGGGATAAACGAGATTGTGCTTCGA